CAATATAGGCGGAATAGGAACTGAAGACTCCAAGGCTCAGAAGATTTCATCCCTGACCAGGGTTCTTCCAAGGGTGCCCTTGATGGCCTGTGTGGCCTGTGGTGAGTAGCCTGGGAGTGACTGATCTCTTGGGGTTGCTGTTGCTGCAACAAAGCACCATGACCAAAAAGCAAGTCGGGGAGGAAAGGTTGTATTCAGTTTACACTTCCACACTGCTGTTTATCACTAAAGAAAGTCAGGACAGGAATTCAAACAGGGCAGGATGCCGAAGGCAGAGCTGATGCAGAGGCCATGGAGGGATGCTACTCACTGGCTTGCTCTTTATGGCTTGCCCAGCCTGCTTTCTTATAGAACCTGGGGCCACCAGTTCAGGACTGGCACCACCCACAGTGGGCTGGGCCCTCCCCCCACTGATCACTAATTGAGGAAATGCCTTACAACTAGATCTCCTGGAGGCATTTCCTCACCTGAGGCTCCTTCCTCTCTGATGGCTCTGATTTGTGTCAAGTTGACATAAAACCAGCCAGTCCAGTTGAAATGACAGAGTCCAATGTTGCGTGTGCTTCCACTCGTGGTACGGGAATAAAGCATGGAAACGATCTGAAGTGGGGATATCCTAGAACAACAGCAGATGTCTCCTGGGATGAGCACCTTTTTTCATAGAAGGACAGAGCCTTGCGGGGTAGATACCAGCAAGGGGCATTATGGGTTGTGCCTCAAGCTCAAAGGGTTACAGAGCAGAGCAATATCACAATAAATACACAAACACAGGAGCTCACTGGCATGAGATGCTTCAGCAGATCTCTTGCACCTATGCAAACCAGAAATAACCAAGAGAGAGGCCAAGTGAATCTGGCGGTTTCAGAGAGTTCGTAAAGCTATTGAGTTGTTTACTTCCTGAAGGGTGGAATGTTTTTTCCAACTCCCCTTAGAACATCCTGAGTCTTCCATGCACAATACCTACACTTTAGATTCATTTCATTTCCAGACTGAAAATAGTATCACTGCTGCTAGTTGCATATAAGATGCGCTACGCGGAACAAGAGGCAGTGATACTATTTTTTTCTTTTTCTATGACTGAATCTATGCTGGATAGTTTTGTGACACAAACTAGAGTCACTTGGGAAGAAGAAACTCCAGCTGAGAAGATTCTCCCACCAGACTGCCCTGTCGGCAAGCCTGTGGTGCACTTTCTTGATTTCCTGATTAATATGGGAGACCACAGCCCATTGTGAGCGGGTCCACCCTGGGCCATTGGGTCCAGGGTGTGTAAGAGAGCAGGTTGAGTAATACATGAGGAGCAGGCCTGTAAGCAGTGTTCCCCATGGCCTCTGCATCAGTTCCTGCCTTGACTTCCTGCACTGACTTTCCTTAGATGGTGACGTCAAGCTGTCAGCTGAAATAAGCTCTCCTCCGCAAGCTGGTGTTGGCCATGTTGTTTTGCCACAATAGAAGCCATAAGACAGAAATCGGTACAAGGTCATGGGGAACATGTAATTTTGAGAGTGCTGTAGAAGCGCTGAACTTTCGGGCTAAAAAAAGTTTTTGAGTGTTGAGAGCTTAATGGAATGTTCTTGGAAGAGCTTGGAAGATAAGAATGTTGAGAGTAATACAGATAAAGAAGCCTTGTGAAGTTTCAAAGGGAATTTTTGAGAGTCCCTTAAGGACTCCATCAGGGCCATTCACGTGATATTTTAAATGAAAAAGCTACGAAAGTGAAAACTTTGCTTTTATGAGACAATCAGTCAGTTGGAGCTGAAAATCAGCTGTGATTCAAAAGAGAGCAGCATTCATGAAGCAGGGTTTTCTGGGAAGTGTTGCCTCACGGTCAGCTCAGAGAAGCTGTGCTCCACACAGGGCCAAGGATGTACCCTGTGCCAGCAGCCAACCTTGGCAATGTGTAAGTTTTCCAGGTGGTGCTTGTGGAGGCATGAAAGAGTCGTGGAGAGCTGCTGAGTCTTGGCACCGTGAAAGACAGGGAAAACCCACTGGTAAATGTGTAGCCTGTGTTGAAATAAAAGCATCAGAACTGAAAGGGTCTTGGAGAGGAGTTGACACTTGATGACATGAACAGGTTCAGAGTCCCTGAAGATGGCCCAGGAGAGACTGTTGGTAAAAATACAGCCCGACTGCAGCATTGTGGAGATGCCAGTGTCACAGGATAACCTCCAAGGACAGCAGCAACTGTAGAGTGGGACCAGCTTGCCACTGAGATGTGTTTCCTGTGCTGTTGGGACTAAGTCCCAGAGGGGGTTTGGAACCTGTTGCTCTCTCTAATGCAGGGTCTGCCTGTAACTACTGTGCAGCAGTTTTCTCTAGATTGAAACTCTGGTCGAACTTCCCTCTATAATCCCAAGATACTTGCTTACATTTTTTTTCTCTCGGTGTTTCCTTGGAGTCCTTCCTCCCGGTCCACCTACTTCCTTCTCCGTGCTAACCCATTGGGGCATCCTCTTGCCTCCTCTCTTCCTGTCTGTCTGCACCATGATTCTCCTGCCCTCAAAAGCCTGGGAACCTTAGCCATGCCTACCCCATTCTGCCCTGCCCAGGTATAGACCATTTAATCAACCAGTTAGGTATTATATCTTAGGCAGGTTTACACAACAAGGACAGGTGTATCCGGGCAGTCACCAGAGGGCCAGTAACTAGCATCAAAACACAAGCATCAGACCAACCCCCATCAATTATCCTTTTCTGTCTAAATAAAAAGGCCATTTTCAAACAGTAAGAATAATTATAAAACAATTATAAAAACCAATAGGTAAGACTTACATGTATAATGTCTAGTCTAAAGGTATTTGGCAATCTTAAAGAAAATATCCTAACTATGAGGGTCTAAGATTTTGTACCTAAGTTATTTTTATTATAGGTTGTATATATTAACCAAAAACTTCTATCTAGACCTAAAACATCTCTTTACTTCCTAAGCAACTAAGCTAATTGTAAAACGATGACTATTTGGTCTTCAAAACCTCATCAGACTTGAGAAGGAATAGAATTAATTACTTGAGTAAATAGGAAGTGCATGTTAGCAGCTTCCAAAAAATAAAATTGAATGAGACAGTTTGCTGCCTGAAACTCAAAACTCTCTACAATATTGGAGCATCATCTTCCGCCTTCTGGCCCAGTATATTTGGCAGACATATATGTGAAGCAGGAACTATTTAGAACTTTCTTACCCTATTGGCAGAGTCTGGCAGTCAACTTGGCCTGCCTTTCAGCCTGCCCATTTTAGGCCGATTTTGTCTGTTGTAGAAGTGAGGGAGGCTTCTTAAGACTTAGAAAGTAGGAGTTGGAGAGATGGCTGTTTAAAAATTCTTTTTTGCCTCTTGCAGAGGACCACAGCTCAGTTCCCACCACCCACATAATGTTACTCAACCATCTCTAACTCCAGTTTGAGGGAAGATACTGTCCCTTCTGGGCCTCCTGGGATACCAGGCACACGTGTAGTACACACTTCACACACGCAAACCAGATCCTTAAACACATAAAATAAAAATAAATAAAATAACTAAAATAAAATAAAAAATAAATAACTTTTTAAAGAAGCAGGGTGTAAACTGAACTTACAACACCCAGGAAGTAAACAAATACATACGTCTCCAGAAGTTCTGAAAACTTGCAACATTTACAAGATTCCCATGTTTTTATACAACTGTAATGACCTCCAGGGAGAGGAGACTTTCCAACCAGCCATCACGCCTAGCAGTCACAAAAGGAGCTCCAGGAATGTGGCTTTCATAAGACTGCAGCTCGTGGCAGGAAGGGTTTTTGGTGAAGCAGCTGCCTCTGAGTTGCCCTTATTCTGACAGGTAAATTGAATAAACACATTAATTTGCCAAGCTGGACTTCAATGGAATCGTTGCTGTAGTCTATCGTCTGTCCCCCATCTGAGGTGGGCAGACATTTGTCCAGGTCACACTACGGCTGGCCATCCCAGTAAACTCCAGGCTAAAGTTAATCTGAATGTTGATCTAAATCAGAATTGAGGAGAGTGAAGGAAAGGAGGGAAGATAAACCAAGCTGTAACCAGTAGGACCAGCAACGAACAGGACAAATGGACTCCGTGTAAGGATTTGTCTTGGATTATGTTCCAATCCCAACTCTGATCTTGACTCAAATGTGACCTGGGCCACTTCCTAATGTCTCTAAGCCTTGACCCCTTAGACTAGAGTAGAGATAGAAAGACAGTATCTGAGGAGGCCACAGCTCCATCCTGAAAGTAGGAAGGAGGAAAGGAAAGGGCTGTCCTGGAGGAAGTAGGAGCACATGGACTGAAATCTTGGTGACCTCATTTGTCATGAGTGACTGCTCTGCAACCTAAAAAACAAAACAAAACAAATAAAACAACTGTCATCTTGTGGCATTATGCCACACCCCCCTTTAAAAAAATCATCCCAGTCAGGCTTGTTGGTGGTTTACACCCTAAATGGAAAGGTGGAGAGGGCATGAGATTCTTACCTGAGTATGTCAATCTTCTCTACGATCTGTTGAATATATTTTTGCCTTAATTGGTTATGCTATGGAAAAGCCCTCATGCCTTCTGGGTAAGATTTTTTCAGGTGAAGGCTGTCAGGAGGGAGAGGCACACATATCCCTGTACATAACCCCTTATGATCTCTAAGGAAGCAAAGAAACACATTGGTTCGCCAAAGTCAAGTTTGGTGGAATCACACCTTGATTTATCACTGGAACCTTAGCAGAAGTTGTTTATGTCTCTCCTGGGAGGGAATTTTAACAACAGCACTATTTCCCAGCTAATGCTCAGATTGGGACTTCTCCCCTGGGCTGTTTCCAACTGGGTTCCAGGACTCCTCAACTCTGCATCCCTAGGCATGCAAGTAAAATATGACATGGAATCCAATGAGACAGGGAGGACTCTCTTATGGATGATAAGATATTTATTGAGCATTAGGCACAGGAGAGGATTAGTTGGGGGAAGGGACCTTTTTTCCTAGCTCTTCAGATCCAGGCCCCTGAGGCTTCGGGAGGATCACGGTCTATGAACATTCAGCAGGTGACACACTCTTCTCTACAATGTTTCCTTCATGAGTAACCTGACAGCTGTATCGGCTGTGAGGTGTCCACTGGTCAGATATCAGTGTCAGGAAGCTGCTGACCACGTACTTGTTGTTGGTCTGTTTGGAGGGCTGGGTTGTCTCTACACCCTGCGTGACAGGGATTCCATCTACCTTCCAGTCCACCACCAAAGTATCTGGGTAGAATTCGCTCACCAGACACACCAGTGTGGCCTTATTAGCCTGGAAATTCTTCAAGGAAGGCAGGAACAGAGTGACCAAGGGGTCGGACTTGGGCTGGCCTGTGCAGACAAAGAAGATGAGAGTTGTAGCAGAGAAACCCACATGATAGGGAAATAATCTTCTCTTAGGAGCTCTGTGACCATTCACTACAGCATCAGGGTGTTCCATCCAGGGATGATTTCTCCTCTGTCCACGTGAGTCCCCTGGAGAGCCTGACACCTCATTAGACCATGCTCCTCTTCCAAGTGAAATGACCCAGGCCCAGACCCTTGCATTCTTGGTTTCCTCACTGGGATGAAGGCCAACTACCCCCTACTCCCTAGCAGCTAGAATCTGAATTGGGATCCAACCCTGATCTCCTGTATCCCTACTCCCCCACCCCCATTACTTCTCCAATGCTCAGAGCCTCCTCTGTAAACTGATACTCATTTATTCTAAAAGGTTGGCCCTGGGAAGTTGGTCTCAAGGGGTGCCTGCTGTATAAGCGCTCCAGGTCTGTGCTCCAGACTCCATTCAGTAATCTCACAAAGCATTAGATTCCATCTAGAAAAATCCCAGGAACTCCTCCAAGGATCCAATGCTTTGGCCACAGTAATCACAAGACCAGCCTTGGCTTTCTTTCTGGGCCTCTTTCTCCCAGACAATGATGGATAGCAACACCCTGACCACTCCCCGAAGTCTCTGCTGACTCCTGACTTCACTTGGCACCATTTTCTCCCTCATTCCTCATCTAAGTCTAAGGACACTGAGGAAGATGAACAAGTGAAACATCTAGCCAAGTTAAACACCAAGCTCCAGGCCTATAGGACCCCAGGAATAAGAGACAGCTGTTTTTTTCTAGTAATAATCCTTGGAGGACCTGGTTCTAGTTACCTTGTCACTCTGAGCCTGTTCTGTGTCCCTGTGACCTCACAGGCCAGCAGAAGATTAGACAGCTGTAGTCTAGACTGAGCCATATTCGTCTCTCAGCCTCTGTGGTTTTCCACCTGGGGTGACCTGAGTCTTTGAAGGCTGGGTTCACAGCACCAGCCACATCCCTGGACCTACTATGTGGCCTTCTCAATCTAGATGGGCATCTGGGCCTCAGTTCAGATTCTAAGGTCTCTAAGGCCTGAAAATCCCAGCAACTAGGCATCTGCCTCGGAGGAGTCGATGGAGCTACTGGCCTCTCCTGTGATTTACCTTAAGTCTACTTGCCTCTCCCTCATCTACAGAAGAAGGTATATGTCAGACTGAAAGGCTGGGGAAGACAGATGGAAAGAACTCCCCAGAACGAAATGGACTGTCATGAGAGGCTTACCTAGAATTGTGAGCCGGGTTCCGTCACCAAAGCTCAAGCATGGCTGGGGCTCAAAGGGACGCCCATAGGGCCAGCGCCTGGGGCCAGTTCTCCATGGGATGATCTGAAACAGGAACCTGTCGGGTGAGTCAGGCACAGCACAACAGTAAACGAACTACGGCCTTGGCAGAAAGTAGATGGGCAGCCAGTGCTCCACGAGTCCATCTATCCATCTACCACTTCCAGCTCTGAATACTTCAGTGTTGGTGGCAACACCAGGCCCAGCAGATTTCCAGAAAATTCCTAACTGCTGTATCTTCTCTGGTGGGTATGGTTGAATCAGGAAATTCCGGGGTGTGTGTGGGTGTGTGGGTGGGTGGGTGTCCCTTTTACAGTGTCTGTGTCTCCTCCATACCAGTTCGTCATGGTCCGTCCAGACCAGCTTCCTCCCAGGTCCCATGCATGCTATGTTGTGAGGATTCCAGTTTTCATTTCTATCATGAGGCCTTATCTGATCTTTCAGACTACTACTGATCTTCCAGGCTGGCCTCCAGCTCACGAAGCCCTGCCTACCTCTGCCTCCCAAGAACTAGGATCAAAGAAGTGCGCCACCACATCAACCCTTTTTTTTTTTTTCTATTTCTGTGAGAAAAAAAAAAATGTGATTGTATATTTATAGGGGTCTAGTTGCTCCGGGTAGCATGAACGTCTGTGATTGACTTTCTGGCAAAGGTGCCGTGACAATTTAAGGGAGAAAATGTCACTCAACAAATGGCTCAGACAAAGGGGCAGACGTTACCCTATCCCACACCACCCACATAAATTGATCAGAGATCTCAGCACGAGAGCTACAGTTTGAAACCTAGTTTACAAAAGAAATTCTTAGAAGTCTCCTTAAAGCTGCATACCATCTACCTTGAATATAACCTGGAAAGGCAAATGCCAATAAATCTGGAACATGGGGATGCCGTGTCCAGCTGAGGTCAGGTCCCACCCTGGAACCAAAAGTTAATGCCCGCATCTTGGAAGCCGAGACCCCTGAGGCCTCTTCTCATTTAGTTTCCCAAATACTAGAGGCTAGAGTTTATCCTCCAAGAAAGAGTCAGTGAGAACCAGTCAGGAAGAAACACCTAACACTGCTGATGCTCCCTAAGAAACTACCCCACCAAGATCACACTAACAAAGGCCACAGCCTGCTCTCACCAGGGCCGTCACCATGGCCTTCACACTTTGCTCCATTCTCAGGTAAAGCACACCACTGAACACTGTCCCAGGCCAGGGGAAATACAGCAGGAAAGCGTAGCTTTTCACATCAGCGTTCAGCTTTTAAACACAAGAAGGACTATAGATTTGTAATTTTTTTTCTTGTGTCACTTTGGTAGCTTGTGTTTTACATTTATTGGAACTGCGTATTCATGATTCATACCTTAGATTATAGCACCTGTTATAATGCTCCCTCCCCATTACAAGTAATGATATCCTTACCTGAAATCATTAAATATTTCAGATTTAGCTGATATGTGAGGGATGGGACCCAACTCTAAACAAAAATTTATAATTGATATTATACATTATACAATAGTCTGGAAGCATGTTATACAACATTTCCAGTGTGCTTACATTTTTAATTTTTTTAATTATTTATATATTTATTTAGTATAATTTATCCACTTTGTATCCCCTCTACAGCCCCGTCCCTCATCTCCTCTCAGTCTCATCCACCTCCCTCCTCTCCTATGTCCCCTGATAGGGGAGGTTCTCCTCCGCTTCCATCTGACCCTAGCTTATCAGGTCTCATCAGGACTGGCTGTATTGTCTTCTTCTGTGTGCACCCCTCAGGGGGAGGTGACCAAAGAGTCGGCCACTGAGTTCATGTCAGAGACAGCCCCTGTGCCCCTTACTAGGAAACCCACTTGGAAACTGAGCAGTCAATGGGCTTCCTTTGAACGGGGGTGTGTGTGTGTGTGTGTGTGTGTGTGTGTGTGCCTACATTTTGACCATGAACTCAAACACACAGTTCTCCACTTGTAAAGCTTGGGAGTTTGGGGCATTTCAGATTAAATGTTCTCAACCTACATGAACAACAATTTATAATTTTGCTTTTCTCTCTTCCATTTTCTTGATCATTTCTAATGTTGTTTGTTCATTATGACTCAATAGAATTTTTAATGTTTCATTGATTTTTTTTCTTTAGCTATGAGTCTAAGAAGTGAAATTCTGCTCAGTAATAAAAGAAGAAAATATTGATGGATTAAACAACAACTCAGTGTCATACTGAACTAAAGAGGACAAGTTCAAAGTTAATGTACACTCAGATTCCAACTCAGAAAATAATTAATGATTCCTCCACACAGTTAATAAATGCCCAGTGAATCAAGCTGAATGGAAACGCTATTGCTTCCCTCTGCAGAGCACATCAGCTCAGTCAGAGCAGACCATTGGATTTTCTGAGACAGGGTCTTTCTCGTATTGAACCTGGAGCTCACTGATCCAGCTAGACTAGCTGGCTGGTAAGCCCCAGGGCTCCTCCCACCTCAACCTCCCTGTGCTAGAGTTAGCAGCATGGGCCACCACCGCTCTCTGTTTGCACAGGTGCTGAGAGTCTGAACTCAGGTCCTCATGTTTGAGGGGCAAGGTCTTCTAGACCGAGTCATCTCTGTGGCCCCAGTTTCTACTCCTCAAGTACCCCAAGGCACTTCTATAATATTTAGTGCATGTTTTGATAATTACCTAAGAATAAATTTCTAGAACTTCAACTATGTGACTAAAATGAACACACACAGTTCACTCTAAATGGATGAAGACCCTGGCACACTAAAATAACTTGGTACCACAGTCTTACTTCTAGCTACTCCAGAGGACTTAGGAAGGAAGGAGGGTCTGGTAGGGATTTAGGAAGTTCAAATCCTGCCTACGCTACAGAGAGTAAGATCAGACAGGGCAACCTAGAAAGACCTTTTCTCAAAATGAAAAATGGAGAAGGGAGATGGGCTGTGGATGTAGCTCATTGGTAGAACACTGGCCAAGCATGAGCAAGGTCCTGAGCTTCAGCTAACATTTGCCCAGGCCCCTCCTCTTAGGCAGATCCTTCCTTCTCACCGCTTTGGCCTCAATGGCCACCTTCCTTCCCAGTCGCCCATTCTATGGGCTCAAAATACATTCCCAAACAAGTAAGTCCCTTACCTGCCTGGCAGGGCCCACAGATGCGGCCTGCTGCTTCCCCCTGAAGATCCAGAGCCCAGGGCTCTACTCCTTTGGGCTGAGCTTGGGGAAAGTACATGCTGGACACCATCCACAAGGCCCAAGAGCAGTAACAGAAGAAGTTTGCACTGTCTGCGGGTGGTGCCCAGTGTTTGTCCTGCTCTGAGCTTCATTGGTCCACAAGTTCAAGGTGAACTCTGGCCCTACTTGCAGTGTGGGTTTCCTGGCTTGCGCCTCCTCTGATGGCCAGAAGCTGTTCCAGTGCAAATGTATTTGTGTAGCCAAACCCCAGGTTGGGTCTGGTTTCCACCAGCAGCAGGCACCCTCCAGGGCCTCTGGTCATCATCTGTGGAGGTGTCCCCCAGGGGGATACCTACAAACCACCCAGCTGTGGTTGGGATGCAAGTTCAACTGTTTCAACTCACAGCTGCCTGCCTAACCCATCCCTGGAGTTCTGGGTGGCTCCGCCTGACTGATATCCAGGTCCCCAAGGAATCCTGGGTCTGTGGAACAGATCTCCCCAGGGATTAGCGGGGCCATGAAGAGTGACTGAACACCTGCCCCACGAACAGCTTACTGTCAGGGATGTGAGGTACAGTTCGAGCTCATGCAGGGCCAGGGGTATTCTGCAAGCAGAGGTTTAGGTTCAGCAAAAAGCTACCAGTCTGATCCAGGAATTACAATATAGTAATTAAAATGGTGTTTACTACACTATGTTCAGTCCCTGTAGGCCTCATATCACAAACTAAGACACCCCAAATCTTTATAAGTAAAACCCATATCTGTAAAAGTTTAGCTGATAAACATTAGCCACTCGGGATGCCACCTAGCTGCAATTCCAGCTCTGATGCTGGAGGTAGGTTTGATGCATGTCACTGACCCTCAAGATCTGGTTACTCCTATCCTTGTTTTGTACACCTGCGTAAGCCATACCTGAATAAATGGGCTATACCTGGGCAGGGCAGAATGGGGTAGGCATGGTGAAGGTTCCCGGGCTTTTGGGTTCAAGAAAGAATCACGGGAAACAGGGGACAAGAGGAGAGGATGAAGGAGGATGCCACGATGGGTTAGCGTGGAGAAGAAGTCTTGTGGGCTGGGAGGAAAGACTCCAATAATGGCATGAAATGGCCCAGGTGAAGAATACAAGCAAGTACCATGGGATTATGGATGGGAGATAATTCAAATGAGGATGGTTAAGGAGGATGGCCTTGGATGGGGGCTGGGAGGTGAATGGTGAGACAGCCAGCATAGGTAGAAATATCTGCCCAGCCCAAGGTAAATAAGGCAATTATAAAATCTAACAGGTGTCTGTGTCTTATTATTTGTGATAGCATGTTAGACAATACTGCTGTGATAAGCTTAGGGCTAATAATATATAATATATAGCCCAACACTCATTTTTTATTTACAACAACACAGTGGAGAGGCTGAGACAGGGGGGTTGTGAGTTCAAGGCCATCCTGGGATGTATAACAAGATCCTATCTCAAAAAAAAAACAAAAAAAAAAAAAAAAAAACACAAAGAAAGTGAAAAAAAAAAGTGTGTGGGCATATATTACACGCTCTTTGGATACACCCTACCCATTGTAGAATAACTCAGACTCATTTATCCACCATCTCATTTGTTTGTATGATCAGAACATGTAGAGTCTATCGGCTTCCTGTAGCATGGCAGAACTTCAGAACTTGGCTGTACAATCCTCATCCAAAGCTGGTGGGTGTGCTTCTACTCCAGCTGTGGGAGCATTCACTTGGCCATTCAAGACTTTCACCTCATCTATCTAGACACAAGAAGACATCTTGGTGTCCCACAGAGATGACGAGGGCCAGAGTTAGGTCAGACTCCATGGACTGATGAGATCTGCCTTGGATCCCTGTGTCCCACAAACACTGACTGCAAACCCTGAAGGACAAGAACTACATCTTGAGTGTTTGTGGTCCATCAAGACAAGGACAAGGTACCAGACAATAGAGTGTGAGTTCCCTAAAAGATATGTGAAGTACAGGGGGACCTCACTTTTCCTCACTTGAGGCACATGGCCCTCTCTACCTACTTTGGGCTCCTTATATCCTGGAGCTTGGAGGAAGGCTCCAAAGGACACTGACTAGTTACTCCACCCTGGAAACCCTACATCCCAGGACCAAGGACTCATGATTCCCCCTTACAGCAGTGCCAAATCTCAGACTTTGCCTAAATGTATAGCATCTCAACTGTTCTCTGAGCCCTGATCCTACCATAGCCTCAGAGCAAGAAGCAGTCACAGACCATAGCTTCCTGCAGTTATCCAGATGTAATCATCAGAAAAAAAAAAAATACTCAAGATGCCCAACTCTTCTGTCTTTGGATAGAGGACTGTCTCCTATCCGGGTACTCCCGCCATGTTTGGTACTGAAAATACCCCTCTCCTCTGGCTCATGCCCACCTCTCTACCTAAGGCCCCAGGGAGACTGTGAGAGGATGATATAAACTCCATTTTGTCTCCATTTTAGAATCAGACCTTACTTTAAAACAAAAATTAGACCATAGGTCACCAATTCTGGGAACAAGACCATAAAATCCCCCTGACCCAAGAAACAGCTTGAGGATAACCACAAGAATGGGAAGATATCTTATCTCAGAGTGGGGCATCTGTGCTGCGCAGCCCACCAACCTTGTAGTAGAACATTTCATGGCACAGAAAATAGGACCTAACATTCCTGAGGTCTTTAGATAGCTCGCTCAATGTTAGTTACGTGAGTTAGCCAATCACTTTGTAACAAGCTTGCCCTTGCTGAATGTCACCTAATTGTGTAACTGCTAAGCTGGAAATTCCTGGTCCTTGCTCAAACCCCAATAAAAACCCTACTGTGCAGCTGCTTGAGGCTTTCCTCTCTGATCCACTGCATTGGTGATGGTAGAGAGACCGGGCTTAAGCCCCAATAAAGCTCTTTGCTTCTGCATATAGTCCAGTTCCTGGTGGTCTTTGGGAACCAAAGATCTCGGCATAACAGCTGCCTGTGACCATTGCATACCCACCTATAAAGAATGACTTCAGAACAGCCACAGAACTGCTTTTTCCAGCTCACATATATTGATGCTTTAGAAGCTTCCTGGCTTTCAGGGTCCCTGACCTGTTCAATGGCTCCCAAGACCCTCTCTAAGATGTCTTGGGAGCCATTTTGGAAGGCTCAAAACATTCTCCAAAAACAACATATCTCAAGGTTTCACTGGACATGAGAATAATAACGTAGCAGCCATTGGCAAGCATTGAGTCCTGTATGATGATGACATCTACTGAGAGAACCAGGCCTGACACTGCCAAAGGTCACCAGGACCTAGGCCTAAACAGGGTCACCCAAAAGTCACCAGGAACTAGTGATCCCACCCCAAGATCACCAGGAGCTAGGCCATAGGTCACCAATTCCAGAAACAAGATTCCCTACCCAAGGAACAGCCTGACGATAACCACAAGAATGGGAAGGTGTCTTATCTCAGGGTGGGGCATCTGTGCTGGACAGCCCAACAACCTTGCAGTAGAACATTCATGGCACAGAAAATAGGACCTAACATTCCTGAGATCTATAGATAGCTCGCTCAATGTTAGTTATGTGAGTTAGTCAATCACTTTGTAACAAGCTTGCCCTTGCTGAATGTCATCCAATCGTATAACTATTAAACTGGAAATTCCCAGTCCCTCCTCAAACCCCAATAAAAACCCTGCCATCCAGCTGCTCGGGGCTCTCCTCTATGATCCACTGCATTGGTGACAGTAGAGAGACTGAGCTTAAGCCCAAATAAAGCTCTTTGCTCTTGCATACGTGGTCCAGCTCCCATGGTGGTCTTGGGGACCTTAAAAGCTGGCCATAACACAATGTGTCTACCTGGCTGGGCCACAGAAACCCAGGGAGTTGATCAAAAATTAATCTTGATGGTTTGTAGATAATTTTGGTGAAATTAATACTTAAATCATGAACTTCAAATAATATACATTACCTTTTATGATGTGGATGGCTTCATCTAGTTTACTGGAGTACAAAGATTGAATTCCCCTGAACAAGAGGAGATTTTGCTGGCTGATCACTTTGAACATAAACAGAAATTCTCCCCTGGGCTTCCAGCCTAACTGACCTTCAAATTCTGAACTTGTCATCTCCAAACTGTGTTGGTGTTTTGAGTTGTGCTGGCCAGGTCAATCAAAGACAGAGAGACACTGCAGGGCAGATTGTGGGCATGGGGACTAACTCCAATTAAGTAAACTCCAAACAACCTCACCAAAGTGCTTTTTTTTTTTTTTCACCACACAGAGACTAGGATTTATTTAATTAACCTAGAGCACAATGCTGGGCAATAGTTAATCCATCCTAAAACCTCCAAGCCTGCATAATTTCCTACCATTCAGACTTCCCATATTATACTTGCTTTTAGTCATATCTTAGATCTGGTTCATTTCTCCACATGGTTCCAAGACCTTTCCTGCAGATACTTCTCCTCCTCTTACCAAAGTGCTTTTATTGATCGTTACGAAAAAGGCCTTTTAGCAAGTAATTCTCACATACCAAAACCTCTTATCTTTATCCTATCTTACCCTATCCTATCCTATCTTATCTTATCTAGGGGTTGTCTTGGGAGACCATCACCTAAGCAAACATGGTCATTATAAGAATTCAAGGTTTGCTAGGAATGTCTTATGACTAAGGTCATGCTAAGGGTCTGAAATTCCCATGGACGAGCAAACTCACAAATCTCAGATAACAATCACTGATTGCTTACAAGAGCTTACTGCAAGACCTAAGCGGCCATCACTCTGTAATAAATACCACGGGCAGAGGCTCCATTCTGCTACAAAGCTGTGGGCCTTGATTCTTGAAAACACACACACACACACACATGCATCATTTTGTTTCCCTCCAGAAAGTTACTAATAAATCAGCTATGTCGTCTAATATCCATGGAGTGTGCTCATTACAATCCCTCACGTTGAAACACAGGGGTTTATACTGGTACGCTTCCTGCCCAAGCTGGGAAGGAATCGAGGGCCATAAGTCCAAAAATGCTAAGACATTATATTCAAAAACATGAGAAAACTCGTTTAGAAAACAATGTATGCCTCCATTCAATGCTGCCTTCTGATGTGAAGGCACACATGCAGATATTGTATACATAATAAATAAATAAATTAAAAAAAAAGCAAAC